TACTGGATGAGCCCCTGCTTATCTTATGCGCAGTTCAGACATGCGCACGTGCTCCCTATTAGGTCGAACATTAACATTCATGCGCATTTCACCCGGTACGACCACTAAAAATCCACGAGAACATCTCAGAAACATTTTCGTAAGCAAGTGCCACGGCAACCGCTCGTTTTAAATTTCAATTTACTTCTGGGATGCAGTAAAAATTTGGAGAACAGCGCAGCGAGCTCTTAAATTTGAAATCAAAAAAGTGATACTTCGACTGATTTAAAGAATAATGGCAGAAAGTCATGGAGAATAACGGTCTTTATTTTGAAAGATTAGTACAGCTTCTTTCGTTTGAAATTATGAATTTTGGGTTTTCAAAAACGAAGGAACTCTTCTTCGATCTAATAAGAGCACCTTAGCAGCATTGTCCATCTAATAGCTATGTCTACCTCGAAGTTGCGACAACTATATAACCAATATCTACCAAGTTCTCAAATATGCTCAGAGTGGGTCCAGCAATGAGATCTGAAACAGACTCCAAATGAAAAAAAACAATATATTGTGACAGAGATGAACTGACCAATGGTGCTCGTGCAGGTCACCATGCAACATGCACCTGCCAAATTCACTATACATTTGAATAAAGGAAACAAAACGAGAGAAAGAGGTAAGCGAAAAAACGCACATCGGAGAGAAAGTTCACGTGTTAGGTGAGTTCACGTACGACGTCTCAATCGTCTTATATTCTCTTCAAAGAAACATCTGAAAAAGCAATATTGAGATGCTACTTACCTGACGAAAACTATAAACTGTAAAAATAGAGAGAATTATACTTGTGATAGCTATGAACATACTTCTCTTACAACGATGCTGAAACCTTAGAAACGAGATCAACCCCTATCTTGGATTACGATAAATTCTGAGTGGGTTCTGAATGGAGCTTAACGATCTGCCAGTGACAAGAATGGCAGAAACTTCCGTAAAGAACTAACAAAATGGGACCCCATGGTTTGCCCGTTGGTTTTGGGCTAGGGAACCACCACAAAGAATCGTTTGCACATATTAACCTCCAAATCCGACACCGTTCCAACAAACATTACGCTGTGCTTGATACACATTACATGGGCCAACTAAAGCGTACGGTCAGAAGTGCCAGGACTTTTGAAAATTAAAAGTGAACGACGTCGCTACTGGCCAAACCCCGGTGTGCAGTGCGACTTAGGAGCGTTACGGTTTTCAGACTTGACGCCATTCTGCGCCGCAGCTACCCCTCCTTGTCGCCATAACGTCACGCTTCGATTCCATTGCACCTTTCCCACTACTTCGAACGGGTTGCATACGTTTTCCTGGTGCTCATCCACTTTTTCATAATCATTGCCTTCAATCGTTATAAATCTGGCATCACATCGGCAATGAAAGAAAGGCACACAAATTAATGGAGGAGTGTAAGTGAAAACTCCCTACTGAAAAAGTGAGACTATCCACCATGCCGGAAGAATTCATGCATAACAACATACCTATGATCACATTCGCTGATCCAAACGAGGTGGAGCATCGTCCATTATCACTGGCACCAAAGTCGGTGGTCCTTGATGTGAAACCATCGCAGAGCTTTGCGGATGATGAATCGAAGCCTGATTTTGTACACGTGACGTCACCACAGGTACCGTCCGTGACGGACCCGCTTGTGTCATTGGCATCAAGTATTGTC